TTATGATACGTATCTGATAACACATACATATGATATATAGTTACAACAGTATATATATATATATACTTATTAGTATATATATAGTATATAATATTATATATATTATTATATATGTATTTTGTTATCTGTCACCTACAGTCAATTTGTAACATAAATCATGATCTTTAGAGTCATATAAATGTTCATATATATATAAGTATTATATAGGTAATATATTATATATACTATTATCTATTACTAGTAATATATAGTTATATGTGTAAGATAACATGATATATATATATAATATGATATAATATATAATTGATATAGTATCCTATAACTATAATTCACGTTGTGATTAGGTTACATAACAGTATATATTATAGTATATATACATACATATATTATATATATATAGGAGCACCTACTACTATAGATAAGTACAATAGCATACATATATATATAGAGTATATAGTATATTATGTTATACGTAGTGAATATGGGCTATATTGTATAGGATAATTATGTACATACATTAAATACGATTAACAACTAATAGATCAATGTATGTTACAAGCAGTACATTTTATACATAATAGTATAGTTATATATATACTATCATTATATATAGTATATGTAGGACTAATATAATATAGCATACGATATATATTATGAGATATAATACACATATAATATACATACACACACACACACACACACACAACGCATTCAATATATATATATATATAAACGGTATAAGTATATATAGTATTATATAATAACTACATGTATGATGAGCTAGCTAATTAATAGATATATGTATATGAGTATTGTAGTATATACTATATAGTATGTGTGTATATAATATGATATATATATAATATATAATATACGTATATATTATATATATATATATAGTAATATATATGATATATATGTAGGTTAGATATATACTAGTAATTGTATGTATATAATATATGAGTAACTTAATGTAGCTCTTGATAAGCCCTATTTATACTACTATCTATATATATTAATAATATATACTATGCATATATTATATATATATATATAGTGCAATGATGATATTATAGTACTTATATAAGTACTATATATATATATATATTAATAGTAATATATAATATAATATATATATATAGACATTAAACAATTATATATATAAGTATAATAATAGATATAGAGATATTAATATATTATAATATAGTATAATAAGCTATAATATATATATTATATATATATAATGTAATACAATAATTATATAACATTTAACATGTATACTATATGACTATAGGTATATATATGCGATAGTATATATTATATAAACTATATATCATAGTGTCCTAGTTCAAATATGATTATAGGCGTCGATATGTGTTAGGGCTAGACGATGTAGATGGAGGTTTACAGTAAATGGTCGACGACATTGAACATTATATATTATATATAGTATCGCGCTGATATACAATATTCCTTTATAGGTATAGCTTTGGTCGAGAGATGAGTATAAGTAGGTGAACGGTTCAAGTGAGTAGTACTTATGTCATAGCATGTTAGAGAGGTGGTGGGGGTGAGGAGTTTGGATATAGAGTACGAAATTGAGTGGGTTAAATTGAGAAGTGCTTTAGTTAGTAAGTAGGCAGGTGAAGCTGGTCTCAGCAAATTGAGTTTTGGATCGGTGAAATTGGTGATATGGGTAATCATAGTAAATAAGCATATATATATATTTATAAGGAGTTATATTCTATACTCAGAGCATATAGTGAGAGGCACAAAACGCATGTTAGTACATATACGTATGAAACAGACATAGCAGTGTGGGGAGTGGGGGGGAGGGGTGCATGTTCTACTGAAATTTATACATATCAGTATTGCTCTGTGAATACTGATTATAATACTGATAAAAATAGCTACCTCACTTTTGACAACTATGGCTTATCTCTGCACTTAAAACATATTCGTACCCTACAAACATAACAAAGTATTTACCCATCATAAAAATGAATATAATTTCAAACTTAAAAATTTGGTTTTCTCAAAATGATCACCTGAAAAAACTAACACCTTTGCTTGAATGAACTTTGCAAAACCTAATTGTAGGAAAGTAGTAAACATGATATAATATCCCATTAAAGTGCACTATCTTCTGACAACCAGAATTCCAACACCTGACCACATACCAACGGAAATAGCTCTAGCCATCATGAAATATTTTGGCTTAGTGCCAGGTAGGGCTCTAGCAGTTACAATTTGCTCTTGCACTAGCATACTGGTTTCCCGTGGTGAGATAGACTGCTCCTACAGTCCCTGGTAAAAGTACTGGACAGCAAATTTTTGCCTCAGTGTCATTGGATTAAACAATGCAATATGAGTGAATACATATTCACTTATTATCATAATTTCTCAGTTTCTTAAAAAATCAAATATCACAACTTGTCTACATATCTCCTGAGTATTTGAATATCTTACAAATTTTCACTTGTTATTCTTTCAGACTTTT